CCAGGGTCATCTCCGTTGAGATCAGGCTGAGGATACTCAAGATCATCACTAGGTGGCAGGTCATGATCCGCCTGCCCCTCCAAAGGAAAGCCACCTTCCATCTCAGCCAAGGGGCGTCCAGCACGGTCCACGGGGAACGTGTACACAGCAATCATCATGTACTTGCAGGATTGACGGCTTTGATCAAAGCCAGGCACCATCTTGCCAGACAAGTCCACGCTGAGGGTGTAGGCCTCAGGATGCACGATGCGCTTGTGGGGCTTGCTTCGGGCAGCTGAGCGAACACAATGCTTGCAATCTCGCCTGGCCGGCATGTGGTCGTTCTGGTAGTGCTGCTTCCAGCTATCAAGAACCGCCGGAGTCAAGGGCCGAAGTGCAGCTTCCAACGAGGGCGTAGTGCCACGGTTCAACCAGTCTTGCAATGCCAAGACCAAAGCAACTTTAAGGCCTGGAGCCCATGCCGCCCACGTTTTGGAGTCATCACACTTCTCCTTCATGGTCATCTGGCCACGATCTTGAGCTGGTTCTTCTGGATTGGTGCCGCTTGGAGGGCCACGAATTCCGTCCAGGATGTTGATGTCCCGGAGCACCACTGCCAATGTTGTTGGCTTCCTTTTTGTGTGACCCATTGGGCCTTGATCGAAGTGGAGCCTCTTGACTTGGTAGGTCTCCTCAAAGTTCTGCCATTCTTTGGTGTGCCAGATCGACATGAACTGCTTATCACGCACCTCCTCGGCTGGCCTGTAACGGGCCGGATCCTCAGGCTGTTCCACAGCCAATGCAGTTTGCAACTCTTGAGGAAGACGAACGTTCTCACAAAGAACATAGAGGGCCAGCATCCTATACAGCAAAACGCTGTCACCAATCACCAACTCCAAATCCGAAGCCGTCAAGGTCGGCAAGCCGTAGGGATGCTGCTCCGTCCTCAAAACACCAGGTCCACCATCATCTTGATACCTCAAGGCTGAGACAGTGCGGCATGGAGGTCCGCCAATGATGGCCTTCACACGGCCGGAGGCTGCCAAGGAGAGGAGGTACAGGTAGGTCTGATCATCATGAAGATCTGCCGAAACCTCACTCTTCAAATCCACACACAAAACCTCGATCCCGTCCTTGTTCAAGGTCTTTTCCCAGTACTTGCTATCGGGACCGGAGAACAAGTGAAGTACGATCTTCTTTGCCCGATCCAACCGGCGGCGTGTCCGCCTATTCCAGGGCACACGATGGCCATCAAAGCTCTGGCCTTCTTGAAGCTGCGACATGTCGGGGACGATGCGCATCAAGATCTCCTCCGGCAAAGAGGGGAACAATGCCTTCAACTGAACCGTCAAAGCCATCTCCAAGGAGTCCGGCATTTCCGCCAGTGCACCACTGTGGGGGTTCTCCATCAAAGTCTTGACCAGCAGCGCCTTCTTGAGGAAGTTGGCCTGTCGACGTTCCAGCTGATCGATCATCTCTTGACCACACTTTCGGTCCACCATCGGGCAGCCATGCTGAATCACCACCTCAAGCTGTTGGCCCTTGTTGTCACGAAGGCTGCATTGCGATCCCTTCCAATCGAACTTGTAGCCGAGCTCCGCAATGCCTCCAAGGGGGACAATCCATGAGCTTCCAAAGGCGTCATCATCCGGAGCCGAGAGCAGGACCTTGGTGCCAGCCTTCAACTTCAACTTGTCCGTGACACCATCGGCCAAAGTCACCTGAGTTGCCATAGCTTGTGCCCATTCAACTTGATCTCGAGCAGGCCGCAAAGCATGCGTAGCGCCCGAGTCCAACACGACCAGCTGACCGCTGGGATCGTGCTCAAGCTGGCTGATCTTGATGACCCGTAGTTGAGGTGCCCTCAAAGATTTCAGCAGCTTCGTTGCTTCCTGCAACAATGTTTCACTTGTAGTTGAGGTAGCTCCTGTCTCACCACCTCCGCCACCTCCGCCCTTCGACACACCCTCCGCCGGCTGCGCCTCTGGGTTCGGACTTTGTTGATGTCCTTCAGAGCTCAACTCCATCTCCTGCAACTTGACCACCGAAGGCTGTGCGCTCCCCCCACCACCAGCACCATTTGAAGACTTGCCAGCACCGCCAGGCTTTCCTCCCCCTGAGCCCTGTGAAGGCTCACCCGTGCCTTTGCTAGGTGAGGTGAATTGCGTCTTGCCTTGGGACTTCAACTTGCAGTCAGATTTTCTGTGGTCTTTTCCACCGCAGATCCAACACCTGGAGGCCTTGTCGTCGACCCCCTCCCACGAGTGTGACCACTTGCAATTCTTTCCAGCCTTGCAGCCACTGTCGGACCTGAAGTACTTGCAGGGCGTAGTTGACATAGCCCCACCCTTGCCTCTATTGTCATCGGCAACTCGTGTGGCTGTAGCTGACTTGTCATGTGCTTCCATCTGTTTCACCTTGATGGGCGATGAAGTGGTCGTAGGGGCTGTGCTCATCAACACCAACGTCTCGACCTCCGCCAAGAGGCATTGACTGAAGCGCCAAACCCCATCATGATGCGGAACTTGATCCACACCAAGCTGCAGCCTGCTCTGGGCCAGACGAAAAGCTGCCTGGGCATCCAAGTTGGAGATCTTGATCACTGCCGCCTCCAGCGCCTTCAACAACAAAGTGCCATCTGGCAAAACGGCGCCGATCTCTCGAGCCCTTGCAAAGTGCCTCCGCCATGACCTCAGCGAAGCAGCCCATTCTGTAACCGTAGTGGCCCTGTCCAAACTTGTCAACTTGGCCAGCAAAATCGACTTCTCACCTGCACCGCCAGGTTGGAACCTCACCAGAAGCCGATACAGGAGTGCCGTGGATGTCAATTCACGATCCGTGATCAAGGCCTGCTGCTGGTCCACAGGGATGGCCTTGAGGAGAAGGTTCACACCTCTCTGTTCCGTCCGGTGGTACCGAACATCATTCAACTCATCAGGAAGGCGAGGCATGATCTGGATCCGCTCGAGTGGAGATGCGGTTTTCCATCGATCATAGTAGCATTGCGCCTCCCTCAACGTCAAGTTCCACCACCGCGCTGACACCGCGGTGATGTCTCGAAGCACCGGCCCGCAAACCGCGAGCCAATCACCAAGCTCCAAGGGCGAAGCATCCGCCGCCAACGTTGCAAGCTCAGCCTTGCTTCCACCTCCTTCAGTCCATGGCAAAGGGGCCGGAGATGAAGGAGCATCCCCTCGCCAGCGACCGTAGTTGTGCTCTCCGGCCGCATCAAGGCTTGAACCATGGTCCATGGAGCCACGATCGGGATGACATTCGATGCCATGTCCACAATCACCACCTGGCCACCCTCCGGGACCACAAGCAAACTCTCGGAGACCAGGACCTCGCAGGCCAACAGTGCCTCCATAACCAGCATGCGCAGCTCCATCATCAAACCTTGGCGGAGCCGGTGGTGCTTCTTGCGAGCTTGAAGGCCCCAAAAACGAAGCTCCTTGGCGCATGCACCCCATCTTCTCTCTCAGCTCAGCCACTTCTTGCTCAAGTCGCGAAGCCCGCAACTCATGAGCGTCGAGTGGCATCATCACCCTCCCTTCTCTCAAGCTGAGGGGCAACCATTGTTGATCACCATGACGGCGTCGATGAGCATCTAAAAGCTCGTAGCCCTGCAGGTCACTAATTTCAGCCGAGGTGCAAGACGTTGGGAACGGTGGCATAGGCACATCCATGCTAGTCGCTGCTCTTGGTGGGGAACCAGGAGGAATCTGCGTTCCATTTGGGGTGAACCGGACATCACCTTGCCCTTGATGTCCACGTCGTGACTGGCTTCGACCCCGTGGAGTGTGTGGTGGTTTCACTCCTACTCCAGTGCTGGTTCCAGGAAGATCACCGCCACATACCTTAACATGTTGACCAGGTACATGACCTTCAGCATGACCAACATGGGTTCCCTTCTTTTCCAAACCCACCTGCTCCCACGAAGAGGGCGTGGAAGACACACCATCCGAGGCTCGCAGACGGCGAAGTTCAGCAACCTCCGCCATCAACACTGCATTTTGCTCCTTGAGGTAGGTGACCATCTCAGCTTCGAGGGCTCTTTGTAGGCCATCATGGTGTTCTTTCGAACCTTTCTCCCCGGGATCCTTTCGCACGTCAGACCCGGAATGCTCTGGTGTAGGGGGCATAGGTCCCATGGTTCGAACCGGCTGCTGACCCCTCACTCCTTGAACCCCTTCCGGCATGATGCCATGGGTTCGCTTCCCACCGCCCCGAACACGATCTTCTTCCTGCCAGCTTGGGGGTGTGGTGAACAACTTGCCGCTGTCCCCACTCAGGGTCGCCACACCGCGCCCTTTCCCACAGCCACCGGTGCGATGTCCTTGCACCTCCAGGTCGAAGTCCTCGTCGCCATCGTGCGGGACAGGAAGATCCTCAGGCCTCCTATGTCGGAGGAGAGCCTCGCCTTTGGCCGTTTCCGACCACCAGGGATTCAGCGGGGGCAGAGAGTGTGCCCTCTCCATGGCGCTCACGGGTTTGGGCTCATAACCCTCGTGAACAAAGACAACGCGCCCTTTCTTCGAACACAAATGCCTGAAGTCGTGTCGACATGTTCGATGTTCTCACCGAACGGAACAACAATCAAGCGTGATGTTCGCCAAACCTCGCATGGCCTGCATGGCAGAAGGAGGGTGTCATTGGCTCGGCCCATCTCCAACCGCTGGGCACACCCACCCCCAAAAAAGCACTGTTGCATCAATGTGGACACGCCCAACCGGGTTTGATCAGCGTTCTACCAAGACATGTTGAATGTTCGTTAAAATTAAGATATGCCTCAACAATCGAATCTATATGTATTGAATATTTGCCTGCATTAGGGCTCGAAGACGTTACCATAAGGGTCAATGAAGGTACAGATTCGATACACGGATCACTCACCAACGATATTGAAGCACAATTGTGGGAAACCGGCAAGCCCCAAACATCTTACACCATCGACATTGAAATTTGATGAAATTTGATTTTGCTGCGTCAATTCTCATGACATTCGATCCGCACCAAGCGGCATATACACGGAGACCAGGATGCTCCGTGCGACTGTGGGCTCCCCATACCACGCCTGACCGCCCGCGTGTGGTCTTCACGGCTTAAAGGCGCCAATTCGGACAGGATCTTTGTGTTGCTGATGAATCCCAAACACATTGACCTACATGATCGGTTATATGTAAATATGGCTTGGGTCTGTCCTATTACCAGTAGGTGATGATGGTTGGCAAAGGCCTTTCTCTAAAAACATCACTATTAGTGATGACTACTGTGACTGTTACAGGTAATAGAACTTGAACAAGCACAACACATCCATACTTGAAGATCTTGAGGTGTGTGGGAATGGCACAAGAGCTTCAAGTATGGATGTGCCCGGAACATTGTTTCGGTGCCCGGCCACTTGGTGACGCGTCGGCAAATTAGTTTCAAGATTCTGTTGGGTGAGGTGTGACGTCTCACCATGACGTCCCACCACTCTCAAGCTTTTCATCATACCAGTTCTGGGTGGAAAACACTTGACACAATAAAAATAAAGCCAACTGGCCAACTTGGAGACAAAGGAAACACATCCTACCTACTACAAAGCAGCAGCCAGTTGGATGAACAGGCAAGTCTGACAGCCTGATCAAAACAACAGGCCCCCTAGGAGCTTCCTCAGCTTCTACAACGTCCACTGCGCCTCCACCCACTGAGAGTTGGCGATGCCTACTTTACAATCGGTGGCTTGCCTCTGACCGACGTGATGCTCGGGAATGTCAAAACGTTCCGTACTCAAGCACTCGTTGCGCTGCAGCCAGAAAATTTGCCATGTGTCTTGAGCTTCGTAATATCCTCTGTGGTGGATTTATCAGTCCCATGGTTTTCTTCATTTGCACCCGCGATGCTGCTCAGAATGCTGTGATACGTCGCCCAAAAAAGCATAAAGCTTACATTAAAGCCGCACCTAATTGCCCGTTGTGCCAAGGCCCTGTGGGCACCTTGCATCATTGCCTGTGGGAGTGTCCTGCTCGTGATTTTTTCATGTATCCCTTGCCACCCCGTCCTAGGTGTCCTTTGCAGCGAGCCTTGGCTGGCCAATGCAAGTAGATGATAGTCTTGATCTTTCGATTCTTGAGTTGTTCCGCAAAAATACGCACCCACCTGCTATCTCTTCGGTGGGAAAATGTTTCCCGATCTTTTTATGACCTCTTGGTCATTTCCCGCGAAGCTTCGTGCTTTTTTGCGACTTTGTCGCTGTCAAGATAGGTGATGCCCCTGGCTATGTCAAGACGGTCATCATCTTTACGCCTTCGTCGTCGTCGTCTATCACATCACAGGCACCTTCGTCAAGGACATGTTGAAATAGATACTGCCCGACAGCGGTGCCAAAGCGGCAACGTTCAAGCCTGGCAGCACTTGGCAGCTACTTGCATCATGAAACACCCTTTCTGCTTCTAGATAACTCGCCACCTTCCCCCACATTCAGCCAAAGAACATGCATGGAAATTCAACAAAAGAAACCAATTCCTAGATGGAGGCGATTTTCCGCAGCCAAAGCTTCGAGGTGAAGGTTTGGCTTCGCTTGCAGCTTGCATCAACGACAGTTACACTCTGACTCACGTTCCATGGTGGATAGCATGGCCCATTGGACGATTCTGAGGAAACAGGTGCCATCCACTTCCACCATGTGATGTGTTCGTCGGAGGGTTCACGGCTCGGCGTCCTTGCCACGCTCCGTTCGGGTCCGATGCCGGTGGGCGCGCCCCGTTTTCTTCAAGTTCTCCGAGCTGTCCAGCTTGGGGGACCGACCGGTAAAGGTGCACTCCAAGGTCCGGCTCTGTTCCGGAAGAACTGCCCGGGGCCTCCAGGAAGGCCTCCCAAAAGCTGGAATGGTGTCACTCTAATATCTTGATCTCCAGATCTGCTTTCATTCGGGACTTTTTGGGGAAGGTCCATCTCAATCCTCGCCCTCCTCATGTCAAGGGGCCCAAGGAAGCCACCAGAAAGCAGGTCTCCAGCGGGAGATCCTCCATGCCCTGGCATAGAAAGAGGACGAAAATTGACACTGAGACTAGACTGGTGACCGGTAGGACCACCTGGGTTCATGACGGGTTCGCACATGGGCCCACCAAGGGGCACGACGGCATGGTCAGCAGTTGCGTCCTTGGTCCTTCCAAAGCCTGCCCAGGCCAATGAATCTGAATTAAGGAAACTTATTACCCACGACATTTGTTCATTAAGACAGGCGGATTGCGCCAGGTAAAACAAAAGAGAAACAAAGGAAAACATATTGCTGAAGGGCGCTTGCGTCTGAATCAAGCAGCAGCATGAATCCCCGAACATGTTGCTTCATGGACATTTCTCAGGGTTGCACTTTGCAGGCTGTCTCAATTTCATGGCCTGTCCCTGGCCCCCACGCTTTGCTGTCCCTCGCGTTACCCCGCGCCTTCCGCCAGGTTGTCAGGCGGGGCACCGTGCGCGGCTCCGCTTACGGCTGCATCAGGGTTCTTGTTTAGATTCAGGGGTCTGGCCGCCCAAAAATGCAAAGGGAAGGGCCCAATGGACTAGAGATATGGCACCAGGAGACCGACGGATTGACCTACTTGGAAGGACAAGCTACCTCCAGTGTGAACCATCCCCATACGGACCTTGCTGGATAGGAGCAAGAACGATTCCTATGCAATCCCAGTCGTGGCCTTGCTGTGCAGGCTCCGGATCACTTTCACAAGTGAATAAGGGGCCCAGCAGTTGCCGTAATTTAATAACCCGCCCGTTCAACAGGACAAGGGACCACAAACCACTTTGACTGCTTTGTCTTCACATGCGCAGGTTGATCGACAAAAGGTGTGCCCTGGCAGCAAACATGTTTGAACCGGTGACCTTACAACTTAGTTCAAGTAAGAATGATCCCAACTTCGTCCAACTGTCCAAAAGTCATCGCACCCAGTCCCTTTTTCGTGGAAAAATATGTTTCTTTTGCGTCGTCTGAGAGTTTCCTCAACTGAAAGGCGGGCCGGCCCTGCGACATGAAGAAGGGGTTCAGGATCGTCCATGTCATGTCATCATCGATCCGCCCCTGTCATCATCGATCCGCCCCAAGTTCCGCTCATTCCGAAACAAGTTCCGCTCATCGCTACCCCGGTAGCCGCTACTTCGGTCCTTTGGCTTGGGGCTTTGAAAGCCACCCTGGCGGAGTCAAGCGACCATCGAAGGGTCCAGCGCGAGAGTCCAGCGCCAGATGCCGATTTTTGTTTTGATCTTATGTTTTTTGTCTATATTGTCTATTGTTCTTTTTTGGGGGTGCCTTGCCGGTGGAACAGCGAGCTGCGTTCAAATCTTGGGTCGCTTTCAGTTGACCTCGTTATACCCCGTTCGGACCTAGCTAGCTAGGCTATGCTACCAAACAGGTGTTTCGATCGACGTCGCATTGAGATGCTAGTGATACGTGGGACTGAATACAAGTCTTGCACTTTACTATCACTTCACTTCATGCATGCTCTTGCATGAAGTGAAAACCTACCACTTAGACTTCAAGCACGTCCACCCCCAAAACCTTGCTACACATTGAGAGAGATGATGCCATCAGCCATCCGCCATCCACCAGAAATTTAGGCCTGGGACTCGCGCTGTAGGCCTTGAGAAGCTGGCGAGTGGTTCATTGTGGTGGTTTGAGGCCTTGTGACACCAAGGAACATGTCATCCTGGAGTAGGTAGAACAATTGCAAAAAAAACACTTTGAAGATCTTTGAAGCCTCCAAAGCCAGCATAGGAAACTGGTCATGCCCACGCATGGGTTCATCTTCTATTCCAGGGCAGTTGTGTTACTTTCACCCGCAAGGCATCGCACCTGGTGACCTATTTATGTGACCTGTGGAACTTGCTTGGACGGATAGGCAGCTCAGCTACTGAATCAGCACATGGCACCGATTCTTCTCGCACTCTCCCCATTTATACGGAGCGGAGCCAGCTCCACGCACTGGAAAATTCAGAGTTCCCCCCGCCCAAATATGTTGGATACCATCTTCCACATCTCGATGTGAACTGTCCGACTTTTCAAGCACCCGGTGCCCGGTGGCCGGTGGCCCGACCACCAGCTGCTCGCCGTCCGACCGGCACCGGGCATCCGGACCGATGGGTCGAGTGGCCTCCCAGCGGAATAAGTGGCTCAAGGACCTCAAAGAGTCTTCCCTCGGTCCGGACGGAACAGAAAGAAACCGGTAGATCTAACATACCAGGACCCTCCAAGGGGTGCCCTGTCTGGAAGCCTATAGGTAGTGTGGGGTAGTCCATTGGACACCCCGACAGGAGGGTCCAGGTAGTTTTATACATCGATTCTAATATAATAGTTCTATTATGTTCTATTTCATCGTCCAAAAGAAGTTGCGGTTGACCCAGGCTTTGATGGCAAATCTGTATATATACATGTCTTTATTTCAATGGGGGGTCCATCGGTCAAACTGGGAGTGGTGCCACTCTCAATCCGCTATTCTATAGCACTCCCCGAAAGACTCATGGATGTGGAACCCAGACTAGACCCCTGGAAGACCATTGGCCTCTAGACTTGGGGTTCCTGGTCAGCTTCCATGATTGTTGCAGGGAGAGTAAAAATCAAGAGCAGCTGGACATGTCTGAAGTGCAGGGCCTGTTTGTTGATTGGGGATTTGAGCAGGGGTTTTGGTAGGATGAAAGCATTTGTGGAGCACATGTTGAAGATTCAGATTGGTGGATTATGGTGGATTTATCATGACTTACCGGGATGTGAAAAACACAGCAAAAAAATGACAATGAGTTTTGATGTTCAACGGCTTCATCACTTCAGCGGTTCGCTGCTTCATCGTCTTTGTGTTGCCGAAAAAGCAAGGAAAATGCTGTGGGTGAGTCTGGGTTCGACATGGAAGCCGACGGAAGCGCCTAAAATTACAATGGTTTCGAAGTAGATGGCGTAATCCCCCAAAGGCACAAAAGATCTTTGGGTTTGTGCCATCTATATATAGTACAGTAATTAGGTTTCATAGTCTTTACATTCGGGCGGGCTATCACAGAGATAGGAAGGCCCACAGTCTTGTCCGGCAAATTTTGAAAAAGGATGTGCACTTAGTAACCACTGTAAACCACTGTAAAAGTCCAGAAGCTACGCACGGGGCGCCCCAAGAATCCAGAAAGAAACCGGGAGCTTTGTGCCACTTCAAGAGTCAGCTGGAAAAGGCAAGAGATAAGATGTGATATTATCTCCTAAGGTGCTGTGGCAAGCCTGGCAAGTGGGAGGGGGATATAGGGGAATCTGTTTTGATTGCCTTTGCAAGTCATGAACAAGTCCGCATGAATTCAACATACTGCAGCGCGCCAGTAGTTCCATGGCAGGGTTGCCGAGCTTGGAGGAAGTCGGGGTGCCCCTGTCACATCCACTTACTGGATGGGACTAGAAACATCGAATCTTTAAAAAAGCATTCCTTTGGAACTGCTGGTGGGTCAACAAAGTTGGAAGTGCATGTGGGGAAAGTCTATTGATGTCGGTTGGAGAGACTTGGTGCTTTCTTAATGGCTCTGGGGTGCTTGGGTAGTGGCCTGAGGCTCTTCAGGCGACTTTTTCGAAAACAAAACCTTTCACTCTCTTGCCAGCTCTGCAAAGATCTCATGCACTCATCCCTGGTCGGTCATGGTCTCTCTCTCTCTCTCTCTCTGTCCCGAGTCTGGCCGGTGAAAACAAGCCCTCCCACTTCACCATCCCACTCGGCTGATGAAAACCAAATACTACCCTCAGTCATCTGCACACGGAGTCATCCCAAGTCTAGGTCTCTCCCTGCCTCTCTCTCTCTCTCAGGCTCTCTGACTCCGTTCGAAGCGTTGACTGGGCAGTTCCCACTGAGCGCTCACCAGGCGGTTCGCATCAATGGCCTCCAACATGGCCAAGACCTGGCTGAAACGAAGCGCTCGAAGCGCCTCGACCCCCACACCGCCCGGTGCCACGCGGCGCCTGAAGGGCGCAGGCGTACCGTTCCATGGGCGGAGGTCTGGCAATCAACCACGCATGGAAATTTCGAAAGATGGCTGTGAGTCAGCACCCAACCATTCGTGGGGAAACCCACCCCCAAATCAGGTTGAAGGTGGTCCACTGAGTGTGTAGGAAGGGTATGGAAGGGTACCATGGGAGCACGGCAACGATGGCACCACTTTTTCATAGCTGCAGCTAGCTCGGTAGCGTGGTCATGGGTCAGCTCCCGTGCCTCACGGCTACTCTAAAACGTCACTCAAGACCGCAGCAATGTCCTCCAGCCTCAGTAGTCACATGTAGACTTTGGTTTCCCAGATCAGTTGGGCTTCGCCTGATCAGATTCTTGAAATCCGTAGAAAGATAATCAGAAGCGCATATGATCTCCACCGTGGCAGTCAATACAGGCATCGAGCGAACAAATCGCACGTTTCACATCGTTTCACCTATAGGCTCTAGCCCGGCCCTTGAATGCCGAACCTGCGGCTATGCCTTGCTCAGCATGGCTGTTGGCCTCAACAACCTCCAGAATTCCGCCCAAATCCGCCAAAAAGCATCCTTGCCCGAAAACCGCTCGCTGAATTCCCTTCTTGTCTTCCCTCTTCGTCATTTTCACCTCCTTGTTGTGGCGAGAGGCTCTTGGGCGCAAAAGGAGTGCGGCATTCCGGGATAGCTCCGGAAGGTCGTCGCGACCCCCTGGGCCTCGGAAAGGGGTCGGTCGTGGCGGGTCCGCACGCCCCGAGTTCGCGGGGGTTCACTGGAAGGTTGCGAGACGTGATGTAGACTCTTAGATGAATACGACCACCCCGAATTGAACATGCTCTTCAAAAGGGGGGGTGTATTAAATCAATGAGTCTACAAACCAAATCCTGAGTTCGAAGGATCATTGATGAAAAATGATCTCCCCTCAAGAGCTCTACTTCTTCTACTGCTCAAGGACTGTACACTACAAAGCCATGTCAAAATATGTTTCTTCTTAAGAAAAGGTCTTTGAAGGCTAGGGCGATCATATCCCAAACCATCCATGGAAGCATATTTACCGTTTTGTACCGATCCACCCCGGTTGAACCGAAACTTGGGTGCCAGTGTTTATGGCCACGCGGTCGCCACGCGGAAGGGGCGCCTGCAATTGCTTCATGCTGCGCCGGCCCCACCACAAGGGTACCAAAGGATCTGCCTGTGCTGCGGTTTCTCGGAGCTTCGAAGAAGAGTTTTGTGAGGCCCAGTGCTGAACTGTTTTTTTGGGGGGTTCTGAAGGGGCGATCCTCGAAAAAACCATCGCCGGCGATGGAAGTTTCCGCTCTGAAGGGGCCGTGGCGAATCTAAAGGGCACTTCAAGATCTCTCCAAACTTGCCGGAAGGACATGGATTTGTCGCTTCCCAAGCTCCAGCTGGGCGAAAAACACCGAGATCGGTAGCTGTGGTCCTACTGAGAACGGCCTACAAGATTAGTGCCAGTATGTTGGAGTACAGTTGAAATCACCTGTTCAGCTAGAAAAGGAAACCAAAACACAAATTTGGCTTCATATACCCTGCACATAGACC